CAGTGCGGCTGGCTGGCTGCTGAATATGGCCTGATTGCGATACACAATGTAGTATTGAGGAATGCATTATGGGGTCAGCGCGCCTTGTCTGCGCGCCTTCCCAGCACCATCCCCGCTCCGTCGCCGCGCACAACTGTCAGCCGCCATTTTCTGAAAAATTTCGATTCGCGCGTCCTGAATTAGGCTATTTTTCGGATTTCGGCACGAATCGAAATTTTTCCGATATTCGACTCGAATTCCCCTTCGGATACTTCGATTCGCTCATCTCTAAATTAACACCATAAACAGTAAAGTCTCACAATACCTATAATAATAATAATGCAGTAAACCACTAGCAGTTGTATCAGAGTGCACTCTGTATATATAGTCCCCTAAGTAAAGGCTGGGATATGTTTATATGCTTCTGGGACCTGGTTGCCTCTATAAAGTAACTGTTCATTATATGGCACCTGACTTGCTTCTTCAGCTGGCTAGCTGTGTTGTCCAATCTGTAGGGTGATGCACTTGTTACTGTCTCTTAAGACTGCTTGCAGTGTGCACTTTTGGTCTGTTAGGCAAAAAGGGCAGTCTCCAGTTGTATTGGGTCACTAATATCGGGGTCACAAGCACAGCTGAATCTGCTCACCAGTCCTGGTATACAACAAACCTTGTCCCAGAGCTTGGTGGCCTGCAGTTATCAGAATCCTTAGTCCTCATGTGAGACTTCTAGGCTCGACCCTGGTGGGATTTGTTATTTTCTTGCATTAATGCAAGAAATAAATTGTACCGGTATATACTGTATATAAATTGTAATTCATCCTGAATGCTTTAGAGCTCCAAATAGTTTTCCAACACTCTAGTGATACTATAGATTTTATACATGCATTTAAAGTGGATCTTTAGTCAGCAAATTAAGTCCTGCTAGATAACTTCAGCTGGTCCCTTTGGCAGGTATAGCTACTGTCAGGGGCGGACTGACCATTTGGAAACGGATCGGGCACTGCCCGAGGGCCCGGGGTCAGTAGGGGGCCCCATGAGATGCCCCTGGTATCTTTTTCATAGGCTTTTTGAGTTTGGGAAGGACACAGGGGCCCCATGATCCCCTATTTCCCGGGGCACGATGAGTTGTCAGTCCGCCGCTTGGCTACTGTATGTAAAACATTAAAAATAAGTGCCTATACTATTAAAAATCTAGTAATAACCTTGTCTTACCTTGCTCTGCACATGCTCAGCTGCTTTCTATTTTTTGCACTGCCAAAAATCTAGAGGCCAGTCTGTTGACAGCATAAAGATTTACTGCTGCTCAGGATCTCTGGATATCAGTAAAATAGCAGCCTATGACAAGAAGAAACAGGAGCAATGCTGGAGGCAATTTTTTACAGCACACACTAATTTTTGGTAGCATAATTATTAATGTTCCTTACTAAAGAACATTATTTAGAAAGTTGTTATTGGTAAGGTTCCACTTTAACTGGCTAGCATTCTTGGAAATGTTGCTGATTTAAAATAGCAACAGCACATCAAATTTATTGATAAGGTTCTTTCTAATTTTAGGTAGCACTAAGCACAATGTTTCCCTTAAAACTGACCTTATAGTATAATCCAATATATTTCAGAAAAAAAACAACCTTCTCGGTGAAAATATGATCTGACGACTCCAAATGATCCTAAAGGGAAACATATATTTAAATGTCCACAAACCAATGCTTTATATGTTATTATTCATTTGTACTAAATCTGTATTTTGCAAATAAAAGTTTGTTTGCAGGATGCATATGTAGCACTACCTCGTAGGAGCCACTGTAGGATTGCCCCAGATTTATTTCCCAATAGTTGCACCACAACCAAACACAGTTCCAGTCATTCTTCAGGCTCATTAACTAGTCTAGGGGTATTAGGTAACTGTAGGATACTCCAGTAACTCCTAGCAACGAAATTGAAGACACTACTCTTCCTCTTAGAAATGTGAGCATGAGTCCTTGCTTGCAGCAAATATTTGATTAAGTGTATCAAGAACACTATAATAGTGCATTCCCTTTAGTAGAACTGAAATAGGCTGATTCTATATTGCAAGAGGTTATAGCAGCAGCATACAGTCCTCAGGGATTTCTTACACAGGTCTGTCCTCACTAATGTCCTTGGATAATTGGCGGCCCCCCGATTCTAATATCTTCCAGACCCTCCTTTTTCAGTGATACCAGACTAGATTCCCAAGGAGAAGAATCCTCTTATTCAGCAGCAGCAAAGTAACTGTAGAATGAGTCCCCAGGCCAACAGGGCTGGAACCTTGATAAGCAGCAGAAAGCAGAAGCACATGCTGACTGCCCAGGATGGCAACATGCCTTCAAGGCTAGACTTCCCTCACCAGGACAAGAGTATTTCCAAGTCTCAAACTGTTTTATCCAGTTTCCCAGCTCCCATCTGTGCAATCTTCCCACAGGGATTGGCTGGAACAGTATAAATATATTCATGCTGCTCATTTGCCTGACTGCACACTTATGTTGCAGGACCATCCAATAGGTTCTAGTAGATTCTAGAAGGCAGGAGGAGTAATCAAAACCTGCAGCCTGTGAAACACAGAACAGACCTGAACAATCACATGCTGATTACAGTGAGCTAGAACTAAATTTTCCAAAGATATTGCAGCCACACTGGTTACAGTGAGACAAAGTAAATGTACCTAACCTAGAACCCTAGCACCTGACTAGAAGGTTTGCTGCACTTACATGACTCACAGTTTTTATAAGAAATCTCAGTTCTAATTGAATTAAGTAGGTGGTACAAAAAAAAAGTAAGAAATTCCAATCTGTGTCAGAAGATCCATGGGTTGCAGGAAAGAATATCACTCAATAAAACCGTCAACAGACAGTGTTGACAAGGGAATCCCTTCCACCGGGAAAAGACAGTGATTATTGCTAGCGGCTATAACAGCCGCTAGCAATAATCGCATGTAAAATGTGAGAGGCTGGTTGTACCCAAGTTATCAATCGATCATCATGGGTACATGCCGCCTACTCATACATGGTTAGAATGTCAGCTGGTCCCTGCTGAACTTGTCAAGAGTCTATGCCGCCTTTACAACCTGAAGTCCCAGAGGTTGTGGGTGGGGACTACACACAGAGCCTTGACTTATCCAGGTGAGCTTCACTTAGGCTGTCTTCATAAAAGCATTTGCTAACTTTCACTTATAATATATGAGAACAGTGATGGGCAAATGTTGCCAAATGTTCAGTGAATATGTTGTGAGGAAATGTAGAAGAGCTTTGAATATACAAAGCTTTGTGCATTCCTATGCAGGTGAAAGAAACACTTGCGAAAACACATCACTAACCTATATGAACTATTGCAAATATTCATCTGTAAATGTGTTTGTGAATGTTAATAAATATGAATATAGTATAAGCATAAGCATAGCATAAGGGTGCCTATAAATATTGTGAGCTGCATCTCTGTGGTGCACACTTTAAAACAGTCCACTGGGAGTGCTCAGTGCAGAATTCAACATGTGACAAGATAATGGATGACAGGTTTTCATGCACAAAGCCCATTTCAGAAGGTGTTTTTGGACAGTATGAACGGTACAGTTTTTAAATTCTTTTTTATCATTCCGCAGTTTTGGTGCAGGTTATTGTGGATCTCAAACAAGAAGAATTTGTTAGCTGTATATTGGATGGCTGCCAAAAAGAGGTATGACGTAATCAAATAAATGTTACATATTTATACATAGCTTTTTCTATATGCAGGCAGTTGAGACTGGAAGAATATGAAATTGCACATCTAATGTCCTGTGCCTCCTTAGTGCCCTTTCACACTGATGCGCTTTTGCTGTGTGTTTGTACAACCTAGAGCGCAAAAAATAGCAGGAAAAATATTTCCCTAAATCCTATGGAATTCTTCACACGTGCGTTGTGGGTGTGGTGCATATTGAAAGGACCCGCATACTATATCTTTGGTACCGTTTCAAAAGCTCACAAAAAAAACACCTCCAATTGAAATGGGAAATGTATCAAAAATGCACCGCTGTTGTCCATGTTTCACAGGTGCATGCTGGGAGTGAGGCAACCAGAAAATACACTAAAAACACTATATGTATTTTTCCAAAAGCATACAGTCTTTTTAGCACACTAGTGTGAAAGGGCCTTATACTTCAATTTCTGTCAGAATGACACATCTAAAACACTTGCACACTGGGATTTATGATACACCTATTTTGATTTTTATTAACCAGTTGCCGACCGCACTATAGTCGAATGGCCGCTACAGCGTAGCTGGCCAGTTGTGGGAGGGCGTCATATGACGTCCTCTAGTGATCATGCTTCCTGTTCACCCCCCTTGGTGCACGCATTGGGAATGTGTCCGTAATCGATCCCTGTCCCTTGCACACAACGCATGACGGATCGGGGTAAAAGACCAATCTGTCCAATGACTAGCGATCACTTTGTGAACAGAACAGGTCATGCCTGAGTCATCACTCTCTCCTTTCCTCACACCAATACCAAATGTGAGGAAAGGAGAGAGATCAGTTGCACCACAGTGAGTTTGCTTTGCCTACTGTGCATGTTACCATGGCCTACAGTGCTCATCAGTGCCCTATAGTGCCCATCAGTGAGTGCTCATTCATGTCCTACAGTGCCCATCAGTGCTTATCAGTGTCCATCAGCGAGTGCTTACCAGTGCCCATCAGTGCCCTACTCCTCAGTGACCATCAGTGTTGCCTAATCACTGCAGCTTATCAGAGCACATCAGTGAGTGCTTATCAGTGCCCTGCAGTGACCATCAGTGCTGCCTCATCACTGAAGCTTAGTGCCCTACAGTGCCCACCAGTGAGTGCTTATCAGTTCCCTACAATGCTCATCAGTGCCCATCAGTATCTTACATTGCTGCCCCATCACTGCAGCTGATCAGTGCACAACAGTGCCCATCAGTGAGTGCTCATCAGTGCCCTACAGTGCCCGTCAATGTCTTTACAGTGCCCATCAGTGAAAGCTTATCAGTGTCCTACAGTGTCCATCAGTGCTGCCACATCAGTGATGCACTATCACTGGATCCTCATCAGCGCCCAAAAGTACCACCTCATCAGTGCCAGCTTATCAATGCAGCCTTAATGCAGTGCATTAGTGCACATCAGTGCAACCTCATCAGTGCCCAATAGTGAAGCCTGATCAGTGCACATCAGAGAAGCCTTGTCAGCACCCACCAGAGCACCCTCATCAGCACCCATTAGTGCACCTTCATCAGCACCCATTAGTGCACCCTCATCAGCACCCATCAGTGCACCCTCATCAGTACCCATCAGTGCAGCCTCATCAGCACCGATCCATGCAGCCTCATCATGGGCTTCAAGCAGTTTATCCCCAGAAAAAGGACCCAGTATTTGGTTAAACTCTAGAAGTTATGCAATAGAGCCACAGGGTACACCTATGCCTTCCTTGTGTACGAAGGAAAGGACACCCAGCTGCAACCTCCGAATGCCCAGATTATATTGGATCAAGTGGAAAAGTTGTTTAGGAGCTGGTATTTACACTTCCTGAAAAGGGTTATCATCTCTATGTTGATAATTACTACACTAGCTTGCCCCTTTTCCGCAATCTTTAGCAAAAGAAAACACTAATATATGGCACCGTGAGGGCTAGCAAAATCTGGTGAACACAAGACTACAACAAGGAACTATCAACCACGTTTCTGCCTTCCACCTGAACTGACCTCAGCCTGTTATTTAACCACATTATTTGCCTGCTGCTTGGACTGATATTCTGTCCTGCTACTGTAGTAGAAGGATTCAAGATAACACAGGGGTCTCACACATGTGCGGGGCTTCAGAATAGTTTTTCCAAGGTGATAAAAAACTAAGTTTTTGGTTTTCTCCAGGTTTTGTAATTCCTGGAAATGGGTCTGTTAGTCTGGAGGCTTCAAAGAGATTGGGTGGGACGAAGCCTCTACGCCTGTGCCCATGTCTTACCTGACCGAGGCCCTAAGCCTGATATTTCTGCCTGCTGCCGACTTACTGCCATCATCCCTCTGCCTGCCACATGAACTGACCACACCTCTGCCTGCTACCTGTACTATGGACCGTGTTCCTGCCTACTACCAGGACCAATATTTCTGCTGTGCTAATTATGTCTCTGCCTGGATAATTCCTTTGGCTGCTGCTGACCACATCTCTGCCTGCTGCCTGAACCAATGCTTTGGCTGTGCTGACAATATCTCTGCCTGCTGCCTGTACCGACTCTGGGTAATATTCTTGCTGCTGCCTGGGCAATTTCTTTTGCTGTTGCTGACTATTTCTCTGTCTGCTGCCTGGACCCCGTGGACAACTGCACTAGATTGTCTAGATAATATTTTTGACAGCTGAATGTAAAAATAAAGGTCTGCAATAAAAAAAAAAAAACACAGCGTGGGGTCCCCCCTCTCATCCATACCAAGCCCTTCAGGTCTGGTATGGATATTAAGGGATAACTCCACGCCGAAATTAAAAAAAAAAAAACAGCGTGGAGTCCCCCCCAAAATCCATACCAGACCCTTATCCGAGCATGCAGCCCGGCAGGTCAGAAGAGCGGGGGGGAATCGAGCGAGCGCCCCCCCCCCCGAACCATACCAGGCCACATGCCCTCAACATGGTGGGGTGCTTTGGGGCAGGGGGGCTCCCCCCCAAAGCACCTTGTCCCCATGTTGATGGGGACAAGGGCCTCTTCCCCACAACCCTGGCCGGTGGTTGTGGGGGTCTGCGAGCGGGGGGCTTATCAGATTCTGGAAGCCGCCCTTTAACAAGGGGGCCCCCAGATCCCAGCCCCCCCCCCACTTGAATGAGTATGCGGTACATGATACCGCTACTAATTCACAAAAAAAACAAAAGTGTAGTGTAAAAAAACACAGTACAGGGTCTTTGACAAGTTCTTTAATAAAACAATGTCCCCCGAAGTAGATCCAACATCAATCACGGCGACCCGAAAAAAGAAAAAACGTTCCACACTCGACGAGGCTCACTAGCCTTATGCAGCCAGTCTCGCTGACATTTCCTATATAGGTAAGGGGCGAGGCCAGCCGGGACATCATCCGAGTGACCCCGCCCCATGTGACATCGCTAATGTCACATGGGGTGGGATCACATGCTTGATGTCCCCGGCTGGCCCCGCCCCTTACCTATTTAAGAACTGTCAGCGAGACTGGTTGCATAAGGCAGCTAGCCTCGGTCAAGAGCTGAGCTTTTTTTTTTTTTATTTTTTTGGGTCGCCGTGATTGAAGTTGGATCTACTTCGGGGGACATTGTTTTATTATTTATTATTTTGCATTTGAAAATCAGCGCCAACATACACTTTGTATTGCGAAAAAAAATTAACAATTGTGTAAACCGAGGCATTATTTTCAATGGATTTTCATTCATAAACCGAAAATAACCTTAACCGAGGCGTTGGTTGTAAACCGAGGTACGCCTGTATTAGTATTGCAATCCTTTGTATTGGGATACATAGAACCAACATACATCTGAATTGGCAACATAGCACAACATTTGTGTCACATTGGAGATATCTCGCTAGTTACACTTACTTTGTCCAGGGACTTAGGGTTGATTCACACCACAGAAATACAGGTGGGATTAGTGTTCAACAGCTCCATGGATTAGTGGTTAGCACTGCTGCCTCACAACGCTAGGGTTGTCAGTTTGAATCCCAACCACAGCATTGAATTTGCATGATCTACATGTGAATACCCTAACATACATGTGCTGGTGGCAGCATCTTTGTTTTCTGTCTAAATGATCCCTAGAATGTGAATTAGAACGAGGCCTTGTCTGTTCAAACACCTTTAAAGTTGCATCTTATGTGAATGTCAAACGATGGGATGAAATAAGGGCTTGGACTAATGATTGATTTGATAATGCTGGTTTGCACTCCACCCCCTTTTTGTCAAACCAAGAGAAGAGTGAGCAAGAGAGAGAAAAGGATTAAAAAAAAAAATTAATAAAATAATGGCATGGAGTCCCAACCCCCCCCCCCCTAAATCCGTAACAGACCCTTATCCGAGCATGCAGATACTGCATGCCTTCAAAGATTTATTTCCTTTGTTGAATTGCCTGCTTGGTTCACACTAGATGCGATTTAAAATTGTGCTTTTTGTTGGCAATTTCACCGTATTTTCTGTAGATTTACCAATGAGTTATTGCATTTTCAATTGTGTTTTGCATTGCGGTTTCTATTGTAGTCTATATGTGAAATCGCTACAAAATGCTGAAAACGTTAGGCAAGAACGACTTTTGAAATTGTGCTCCAGCAAATCGCTTACGTTAAGACACTCACATCCACATTCAGTAGATCTGATATCAGGTACAATTTCAATTCCCAAATCACACCTGAAATCGTGCACCCTGAATGCGACTTGGCATGCGATTTGCATGACATGTGACTTGCAAATGGTATGCCAAGTCGCACCCTATTGTCTATTAGAGCAGTCACATGGGTGCGTTTCCGACACTGATTTCTAAAGTAGTACATGTACTACTTTTGTGGCAATTTGCATAGATATCTGTGTCAGATGTCTTGCAAATCGCAAGGAAATCGGCATCTTTACTGTACGTCGCACAATTTCTATATCGGCTTTGATGTGACCGGGGTGTAAGGCCTTTTTATGTTTGATTTCCTGAGTGTTTTTCCGATTTATGAGAAACTACTACTAGCAAAAGTGAATTGACATTTTCAGTATTGCATGCAAGATGTTGTCATGTGACTGCCTTAACTCATGCGATAATCTGGAGTGAATTGTGCCCATGGGGCCAAGAAATATTGCCAATAGGGTTCCCTTTTACATCCCTGTTCAATGTTCTGTTGTATGCTGCACAGGTACACTACACTGTGGCTTTCTTTCTGACTCTGATTTGTGGGGCCTGTATACCAAGGGTTAACGCAGGTGGGAAGAGAATTAATCAGGTGCAAACACTTTCTCTGACCAAATGAATGACAGTGGTGGGTGTGGCCTACCTTATATAAAGAGATGCAGTAGTGGGTGATTTTTGCCTTGTACAGGCCACATTATTTTCTGCAAGTCCTTGTCTGTGGTGGTTTGGAGAGGAAGAGATATTGTGGTGAATTGCCCCAGGCCACACTCACGCTGTGTTTTGATGTGGGCTATAAATGTTTTGCATGTTCTTCCTTCTAAGGTGTGTTTGTGTGTTCTTGTACAATGATTGTGTTTATTATCTTTGCATTGTAATCCTAACACATGTCAATTGCTATGCTCTTCCAAGTTTGCTTTATTTGGAATGAAATGCAGTTTTCAGACAAATCTGATGAGAAATATATGTGTGGGGGATTTGGGAAGGTGGGAAGTATTTTTATTTTGGCACGTATGTATTTCTTATATTGATATTTTGATCTGCAGCTTGTTTTGTGGATAAGCCTAAGTCAGGGGTCTACAACCTTTAAGACATAAAGAGCCACTTGGACCCGTTTCCGAAGGGAAAAAAAAGACTGGCAGCCGCAAAACCATTGCAACATTTAAAACAAATCCGACACTGCATATATTGTTTCTTACCTTAATGCTATATACAGGATCGTGCAGTTAGCTGTCAATCTGAAGAAAAAAAAGAACTTTTTCACTTAACAATGTAAAATATATTTTTGCACATTAATAGCTAATTAAAATATTTAATTTATCTGGTTAATGGGATTTTTTTCTCCTGAACCTCAG